GGCTGCGATTTGCGCAACTGTCGCCACTTCCGTGGGCTCCTGGGAGGCCCAGCGGAGGACGTTTTACGCAGATCACCACCGTGCCACGAGACCTCGCCGTCCTTTTGGGGCCTGCGATCTGCGAAACTGGCGCCACTTACGTGGGCTCCTGGGAGGGCCAGCGGAGGTACTTTATATTCAGATCACCACGACACCTCGTCGTCCTCTGGGGCCTGCGATCTGCGAAGATGTCGCCACTTTCGTAGGTTTCCGGGAGGGCCAGCGGAGGTACGTCCTACGCAGATGACCACGAGACCTCGCCGCCCCTTGGCGGGCTGCGATCTTCAAAACAGTCGCCACTGTCGTGGGCTCCAGGAGACCCCAGCGGAGGTACGTTTTACGCAGATCACCACTAGACCTCGCCGTCCCCTGGGGGGGGCTGCGACTGCGAAACTGTCGCCACTATCGTGGGCTCCTGGAAGCTCAGCGGAGGTACGTCCCACGCGGATCACCACGAGACCTCGCCGTCCCCTGGGGGGGGCTGCGACTCGCGAAACTGTCGCCACTTTCCTGGGCTTCAGGGAAGGCCAGAAGGGGGTATGTCTTACGCGGATCACCACGAAACCTCGCCGCCCCCTGGGGGGCTGCGATGGGCTTCTGGGAGGGCCAGCGGGGTGACGTCTCACGCACATTACAACTACAGCTCGCCGTCCTCTGGGGGAGCTGTCGCCACTTTCGTGGGCTCCTCGGAGGGCCAGCGGCGTGACGTCTTACGAGCATCCCAGCTGTAGCTCGCCGTCCCCTGGGGGCCTGTGATCCGTGGAACTGTCGCCACCAGTCCCATGAGGCATGGGCGGCTGGGTACATAACCCCGGCAACAGTCAGGCACAAAGCTGAACACGTGAGGCACAGGCAGGTGTGACCCCAGCTCTGCTTATAGTCGTCCCGTGGACGGATGAGGACGGATAACCTTCCCAAGGGCATCCTTGCGTCTCTAGATGGTGCGGCACCCTTGCAGAGCGCTGTCCTGCAATGCGAACACAGCGCAAGGTGCTGCTACTCCCACGAAGTATGTCTCCAATCGTCCCTCCTCCACATGTTTCCACGCCCCCTCGTGGTCGATCTCCTGCCAACGACCTGACTTTTAAGAGTGAAGCCGCATTTGTGAAACATCTGGCTCTGGCCCGACGTTCTTTGGCGAAGCGTTCCAGGGCATTGCGGATCATTCAACGATTGCTGTTGTATTCAACGATCCGATGTATACTCGCCACATGCTTAAAAGGGTTGGGTACGTCTCCGGGTTATTGCCTCTTGGCTCCTTCGGCCCATGGCGCCACCCTTCCTGGGTTGTGGGTTGGGCTCCTTGGAAGGTCGTTTTTGGATATCGCGCAAGGCCTCTCGGGGGCCTTTGGAAGCAGATTTGAAGGAAGCTCCAGGGGGGGGGGCCTTTGGGAGCCTCTTGGGGTCTTTGGGGGGGCCTCCTGGGTGTCTTTTTTGGGCCTCTTGGAGCCTCCTGGGGACCTCTTTCCTGGGGACCTCTTGGGGTGGAAGGTGAGAATTGTCGGTTCGCGTTCCCCCTCTCGGGCACCTGTCGAGGCCGTCCTGAGGCCCTCTTGGGCCGTCTTGGGGGCCTCTCGGGGGCCTCTGGGGCCCTCTTGGGGCGAAGGTGGCGGCTTCCTGGGCAGTCTTGGAATGTCAAACTCTTGAGGACGGGAGAACGCGAAACAAATTTGAAAGCAACATGCGAATCTATGATTTTGGCATCTTGGGGCCATTTGTGGGGTCCTCTCGGGACGCTCTTGCGGCCTCGTGGGGGCCTCTTGGGACATCATGGGGCCATCTTGGGCGGCTTGGTGCGCTCTTGGGCCTTCTTGGCGGCTTGTGAGCGTCCGCTGCGGGCGCCAAGGAGGGCCCCGGAGGCGCAGGGAACGCCCTGGAGCGCTCGAAAAAGAGCGCCAGGCGGCGCCGGGGACGAAAGTGGGTTGCAGGGAGGGGGTGGGGAGGAGGGGAGTTTTGGAAAAATGGGGGGCGCAAAGCCCGGGGCCCCAGACGCCCGTTAGAATACACAGTGGCCAGGGATAGTTAACTCTCAGGTGGGAAGGAGTGGGGTGCCCTTTTATAATCCGGGTGGCTCGGTTACGGGGCCCCCCTCGTTTTCGTCGATCTCCTCCAAAATGGTTCCACGATGGCCCACCGAGGCCCTCCGAGGGTGCCCCAAAACGGCCCCAAGAGGTGCCCAGGAGGCCCCAAGAGACCCCTAAGACGCCCCAAGTGGCCCCCAAAGTGGCTCCCAAAAGACACCCAAGAGATTCTCAGAGGCCCCCGAAACGCACCCAAGACGCCCCAAGAGGCCCCCGAGACCGGCAAGAGACCCCAAAGACGTCCCAAGAGGACTCCAAAGAAATTCTCGAACAACAATCAAACGAAACTCCGGCTCTGCCATCCAACAGGCATCCAAGAGGCCTCCAAGACGCTTCTGGCCGTTCTGCTCGCCCTCCTCCTCCTCCTCCTCCTCCTCCTCCTCCTCCTCCTCCTCCTCTTCCTCATCCGCCTGTTCGTCCTCTTTCCTCGTCCCTCCTCCCCCCACTTTCCCTACTCCTCCTCCTCCTGTTCCTCCTCTTCCGATTCCTCATCCATCCCCCCCCTGTGGGGCACGGCGTCTTACCCATCTCTCCATTCCAATGCGTTCTCCTCCACGTCCCTGATCAGGGCAGATCACCTGCGCATCGTTCCTGGATGGCCAGGAAGGGTTTTTTTGATCGCGACCGCGCCGAGAGCAGCTGGACGGCGTCCAAGGGCGCAACTAACTAAGCGGCGGCCTAAATTACGCGCAACGGGAGAAGGAAAGATGACAAGAGGGAGGACAGCGGGGGAAGGAACAATCAGGAGGCGGGCCTCGCTGTCGCTCAGAGGAGGGCGCCATCGACCAGGAAGACCTTCCAGGCGAACTGCAACACCAAAACGGCGCAATTCAGGTTGTACGACACCTCGAGCGTGCAGAGGGTGGAGACCACCGGCAGGCCTCACCACGAAATCCAGCGCCAAGACAAGTTGTTCCTGCCAGGCACATCTTTTCCCAATAATGCGCAACAGAGGGAGCGCGAAACAGAAGGAGGGGGAGGAGGAGGAGGAGGAGGAGGAGGAGGAGGAGGAGGAGGAGGAGGAAGGGAGAAGGCGATGTGCGACGGACCCCTGCGGCCCAAACGGCCACTTAAACAGTATTTGAAAACGCACAGCGGCAAGACCATGGTACCGCGGATGCACGTGGCGGCCGTGTCGCACGGCCAGGCAGGCATCGGCCCACGCCATGCGGGCGCTCAACGGACCAGAGTCTGGATCGCCAAACACAATCAGGAACTGGTGTCCAGAAGAGTGCCGGCCGGGTGGGTGCAGGCTGGCGCACGCCACCAAGGAAGGCAAGAGGACCCCGCATGGGGACCGTCGGGGAGGAAACCGCACCGTGGGGGGTGACCGAGAGGTCAGCCGACCCCAGATGCCGTGGGCCGCGGGCTGAGGGCCGGAAGACCAAGACGGAGGGGCAGCCGAAGGCCGAGGGCAGGCGGACCACCGAGAGGGACGGTCCGCGCCAGCCGTGTCCATGTCGGGTTGCGCGTAGCGTCATGGATGTGACTCGTCCCCAGGAGGGCATCGGAAGCGATGCCTGGCCAACAAACAATCCGCCTCTGGACCTTGGATTTCCTTGGCTGCGGTGTGCAACCAGCCCTCCGACATCGTGACCATTTCAGCACGTGGCGTCCCACGTCCCGACCCCTTCCCTGGGGCCAGTTTGATTTTCTAAGTCGTATCTTGATGGCCACGGGGCCCAAGAGCGGCCACCGAGCCCCGAAGCTCGCCGAAAAACTCCGTCTTCATGGTTTCAGGACGTCGCAACTCTGGGTTCGCGGGGGACCAAAATCGACCTGCTGATGTGTCGGGGAGCTTTCTGGCCAGGATCTCAAGACGAACCCAGCCTTGGCAACGAGCCGCCGAAGGCAAACCAACAACCAACAACGATTTTGCGCAGTTAGAACCCTCGACGTTCCCTGAGATCCGACGTCGCGAACAGGTGACAACACTGTGCGAGATCACGACCAGAGCCTGAGACACAATCTTCCTCCAGCACTTCTCTACTCGGATCGATCCGCGAGAGCCCCGGGGCCCGAAACCAGGCGGCAACGCTCAATGTGAAAGAAAAACGATCGGATCTCCACGGCTTCCCGCATATCTGGCGATGTGTTGCTTCCCGTGCGTGATCTCAGACGTCCCGACCCCCTGCCCTGGGACCACCATTTCGCCCCGGTTGATGGCCCGCGGGCTCGGAAACGTGCTCCTCGAGGCCGACATCGAGTACAAACTTGTGGGCTGACAAAAAGCATCGTCTGAGAGATGGTTTCCTGTCCCGAGGGCGGCAACGAATTGCTCAAACCTAAACTCTCGGAGGTCCGCGCGGATTTCCAGCACCTGCGCAGACCCAGGAACGCCGTGCGGAGCTCTGAAAATTTAGGTGTACGTATGCCGATCTCTTCACCTCCTACTGTCAAACCGTATATCTGGGACGCACGATGAGGATGCAAGGGCCCGGGAAGGCCATGCCGACACCTTGCGAACGGGGCGCGGCCAGCGAAGGCGGCCAAGGGGAAGAATGCGATGGGTAACGCTGGACACTTGCCGCTCCACTGGGGCCACGGCCTCCGCTGACCCCAAAGGCCCTTGGCCGTCTGCCCGCCTCGCAGCTTGCAGCAACGCCAAGAACAGCGTCTTCTGAGGCGCACGCGGGGCCCTCGCAGGTGCGCAGCCACTGCGAGAGATGACCGCAGGCGAAGGACGACGACGCCAGGACGAGGAGAAAGCCAGGGGAGGATAAATCGAGAAGATCAGGCGGCTCTGGAGGATGCGTCGGGTGCCGCAGCCTTCTCAGAGTGTTCTGGAACGCTCCGAGAGCGCTCCGGAATGCTCCGGAACGCATTTATCCTCGTCCTAGCCCCGGCCGAGTAAACCATGTTCCGTCGAGTCCCGAGAGCCCGCCGCCACCACCATGCCGACCGTCAGCCACCCGCTCGGCGCCGGCCCTGGATCGCCGAGGCCGCCCACGCCCAGCTCCGCGGGCCGCCGCGTCGAGGCCACCTCGCCCGCCGCGGGCGGCTCGCCCGCGCCGCCTGCCGGCAGGGGCGCGAACGTGCCGTCCGCCCCGCGCACCTCACCGGCGGCGGCGGCCGCAGCGGCGTCGGCGGCGACGGCGCCCGCAGCGGCGTCGGCGGCGGCGGCGGCGGCAGCGGCGGCGGCGGTGGCGGCGTCGGCGCTGGCGACGGCGCCCGCGGCGGCGGCGACGGCAGCGGCGGACTTGACGACGGCGCCCGCGGTGGCTGCGTCGGCGGCGGCGGCGCTGGCGACTGCGCCCGCGGCGGAGGCGGCAGCGCACCACCAATGAACCGTCCGCGGCCACCGCAACGCCCTGGGCGCCTGCGCCCGGAGCGGCCGCCGCCCTCCTGGGAGGGGCGCCACGCCAGTGACCCGCTCGGACTACCAACAAGAAGTGCGGGCCCCAGCAGAAGAAGGGATCTCCCGCCTGAGGCGTCCTCGCGATTCACTCACAGACCCCGCTCGAGACATCCTCATCATTTGCCCCTTCTGGGCGCTCAAGAGAGAGCTACGCCTGTTACAATACGCCAGTGACCCGCTCGGATTGCCAGCATGGGGTGCGGGCCCCATAGAGAAGGGGCTGCCTCGCAACTCACTCACGAGGCCCCTGGTCGAGACATCCTCACGATGTCACCGTTTGGGGTGCTCAAGTGCTATGCCTGCTGCAATCGCCAGTGACCCGCTCGGATGGCCAACAGGAAGCGCTGGCCCCACATGGAGGGCGGCTCCCGCCTAAGATATCCTAGCACTGTACTCATAGTCGAGGCCCCCGCTCGAGACATCCTGACGATGTGCCCCAATGGGGTGCCCCCTTGGGGTGCCCAAGTGTGATTCCTTTTGCAGTACGCCACTGACCCGCTCGGACTGCTAACATGAAGCGCGGGCCCCGTAGGGAGGGGGCTCCAGCTGGAGACTGCCTCGCAACTGACTCACAAACGAGGCCCTCAGACATCCTCACGACTTGCCCCCTTGGGGCGCTCCAGTGCTACGCATGCTACAATACGCCAATGACCCGCTCGGATTGCCAGCATGATGCGCGGGCCCCATAGGGATGGGGGCTCCCGCTTGAGACTGCCTCGCGCTTCAGTCACAAACGAGGCCCTACAATACGCCAGTGACCCGCTCGGATTGCCAGCATGATGCGCGGGCCCCATAGGGGCGGGGGCTCCCGCTCGAGACTGCCTCGCAAATCAATCACAGACGATGCCCCCGCTCGAGACATCCTCACGATTTGCCCCCTTGGGTGCTCAAGTGCTACGCCTGCTACAATACGCCAGTGACCCACCAGCTCGGATTACCACCAAGAAGCGCGGGCAACACATGGAAGAGGCTCACGCCTGAGACTTCCTCGCACTTCACTCACAGGCGGGGCCCCCGCTCGAAACATCCTCACGATTTGTCCCCTTGGGGTGCTCAGGTGCTGTGCCTGCTACAATACGCCAGTGACACGCTCGGATTACCAACATGAAGTGCGGGCCCCATGGGGAGTTTGACCCTGCCTGAGGCACCCTCGTACCCACTCACAAGCGAGGCTCCTTCTCGAAAAAACATGATGATTGACCCCCTTGGGGTGCTCAAGTGCTACGCCTGGTAGGATATAACGATTGTCGTTCGGATCACCAACATGAAATGCGGATCATGGTAATCAACGCGGGGGGCCCGCTTGAGACATCCTCGCGATTTGCCCCCTTGCAGTGCTCAAGTGCCACGCTTGGTGGAATATTCCGTTGACCCGTTCGAATTGTCAAAATGAAGCGCGGGCCCCGTAAGAAAAGGGCTCCCGTCTGAGATCTCTTCGCACTTCACTCACAAAGGAGGCCCCTGATTGAGGCATCCTCTCGATTTGCCCCCTAACGGTCCTCCAATGCGATGCCTGGTCAATTATACCGATGACAAGCTCGCACTAGAAACATGAAGTGCTGGCCCCATAGGGACGGGGGGGCGCCTGAGACACCCTCGCGATGTGCCCCCTGTGTACTCAGATGCTACGCCTGGTCGATCATTCAGATGATCCGCTCGGATTGCCAACGTGAAATGCGGGCCCCATAGGGAAGGTGATCCCGCCTGAAACTCCCTTGCGTCCAACTCACAAGCGAGACCCCCGCTCGAGACATCCTCTCAAATTGCCCCCCCGGGGTGCTAAAATGCCACGCCTGGTGGGATATTCCGGTGACCTGCTCGGCTTGCCAAAACGAAGTGCGGGTCCCATAGGAAGGGGGCGGCGCCTGAGGCATCCTCAGGATGTGCCCTCTTTGGGGCGTTCAAGCCTTATGCCTGGTAGAACACACCGACGACCCGCTCGAACTACCAACGTGAAGCGCGGGCCCCGTAGGGAGGGGCTCCCGTCTGAGAATTTCTCGCAACGCACTCACAGACGAGCCCGCCGCTCGAGCGGTTATCACGATGTGTGTGTGGGGGTGAGTGAATGCTGGTGGTGATTATGACTGTGGTAATGATGGTTATGGTGATGATGATGCTGATGATGATGATTGTGACGATTGTCTAGAAGAGTCGGGGCTCAGGGGGAGGAGCGGTTCGGGGGTAAGAGGAGAGCCCTCTGCACGGCGAGCGCGTTCTAGAGCCGCTGCGCTCTACGCGCGCGTGCAGGGGTGGGCCACTCCGCTCCGCGCAGCGCGCGATCGGCGGGGCGCGCCTCCGCCGATCAACAGTCGGCGAGCTCGGGATCAGGGCAGACCGGGAAGGCGCAGCCTCGCGACTGGAGGCCCGTCCATCTTCCCAAAGGCGCCCGCACTCGCCGCGCGGCACGTGGCGCCCGCATCCACAGGTTGAGCAACCGCGCGCTTCACAACGAGCCCGCGCTCAAAATTCAAAGTGGCTATGACAACGGCAGTCCCGTCAACGAACTTGTTGACAATGTGGGACACGCCCGCAAAGGCGGAGGCGTGCAGCTCGGTAAAGAGAACTCTCGCATCCACAATAATGGCAGACTTCTCGTTGGCCGCTGTGAAACGGTCACAATTGCGAGCCTTGTCCGCAAGGGCAGTGGAGGTAGCATCAAAGCCGACAAAGAGAACCTCCTCACCCACAGAGCTAGCATTCTTCACAGCGCCCGCAACCTCAATTCGCCGGCCCAACGGGCCAGGGCGTGCTAAGATCTCCGGTGCCTGGTTAACAATATTTCTAGTTCGCGCGCGCGGGGCGGCCCCTGGGGGTCCCCGGACGAAAAGTACCCCGGCAAGGTCCCGGCAAGTTCCCGGCAAGCCCCCGGCAAGGTCCCGGCAAGGTCGGGCCAGAGATGCCGGAGTTCTGTTACAGGGCCCCAGGACGGGCCAAGAGGTCCCCAAGAAGCCTCCAAGACGGTCCAAGAGGGCCCCGAGACGGCCAAAGATCGCCCGAAGACGCCCAAACAGGGCCCCAAGACAGCCCAAGAGGCCTCCAAGACGCCCCAAGGGCCTTCCAAGAGGCCTCCGAAGAGGGCCCCAAGAGGCCAAAATCGTTGATTTTCATTGTTTTTGTTCGATGTTCTTTGCGTTCTGGCTTTTTCGGCTTCCGGACGCTCCAAGACGGCCCAAGAGGCCCCCAAGACCGCTCCAAGACGGCCCACGAGGCTCCCAAGACGGCCCCGGAACGGCCCAGGAGGGCCCCCAAGACGGCCCAAGTGCCGCCCAAGACGGACCAAGAGGCCCCAAGACGGGCCCAAGAGGGGCTCAAGAGGGGAACCGAGAACTGAAAAATCTAGCCCTCCGCCCCAGAAGGCGCCCAGGAGGCCCCAAAAAGGCCCCAAGAGGCCCCCAAGAGGCCCCCAAGACGCCCCAAGAGGCGCCCAAGAGGCCCAAAAGAGGCCCCAAGAGGCCCCAAAACGGCCCCCAAAACTCGGCTAGCCCACAACGGTGCGACAATATGGGCCGGCGGAATGAGCGAAGCGATTAAATAATCGAAGTTGCTCTGACTATCGCAATTGAGCCATCGAAATTGCTGACACTGGGAGCGGCACATTATCGGAATACCCCACGCTGTTACCCTGTCGCGAGCACAGGCGTCGGCGATGGCGTCGCGAAGCCGCGGCGACGAATGCCGATCCGCAAAAAAAAAAATCAACAACAACAACAAAAAACGGAATGCGCCTAAAGAGCTGCAATCGAATAAAGCGGAATTCGCCGCGCGCGAATCCAGCGGCAACGACTGCCGCCCAAGTTTAGGACCTCGCGGTCCACGGGCGGTAGGTCCCCGTGCGTGCTAACAATCGCTTCAGATGCCCCTCTAGCCAGTCCGTCCATTCCGGAAATTATTCCTCCATGTAGCCCGGCGGTGCCGCTCCGCCTGGGCGACGTCCTCCCAGTTGGCGAAACCCGCCCAGCAATGGAAACCGCCTGTTTCCCAGGGGCTGGATGCCCAGAACAAGCTTCACCTGGTCGCCCTGCCCCGTCTTGTGATTCTGGAAACCCTGATGAGCTGCACCGCGTCCTCTGGTTTCTCGCAGGCGTTGAAGTCCCCCACGAGCTTCTCGATGGCCGTTGCGTTGGCGCCGCCTACATCGGCAACGTTTGCCAGCGCGTCCAGCGTCGCCCCGACAGGAGCGCGCGTGGCGGCCCAAGCGGCTGCGTTTCGGGGCTATTCCCCTCGTCCTTGCGGTACTGATCGGACCGCTCTGCGAAATTATCCTGCTCCTCCTGGTTCGATGGAGACGTCGAGCAACGCGCCCTCGATCGTCCTGACATCATGCGTGTTCTTGCGCACTTGCTAAAGGAGAAGCAGCAGTAATTCGCGTAGACCTTTGTCCTTCACCTGGAGCTCCTTGCCTTGCCTGCCGCCCCGGTTGCGGCGCTTGCCCCCGCGCCTGGTCCTCGGCTGACCCGCCGCTGCAATTGCTGCGCCCCGCCTGCCTCGCCCTGCGACGGAGCCGGAATTCCCTGGCGCTGGCGAGGACGCCTGGAGGCGCCACGCTGCCCCCATCCTTTGCGCGAGTAGAAGCGAATACCTGAGTCCATGGTCTGGCCGAGCGGATCCCGCGCGAAGTGGAGGCGAGCGTCGTCGTCCGCGAGCACAGCCATGGGCGCTTCTTCGCAGGCCGCAGGCCACGCACTATCCACGGCTCGATGGAAAAATTGAGGCGCGCGGGAAAGAAGATGGCGCCTGAGCGCCTCCACTGAGCCAAACGTCAACGGCGGCGACGACAGTTTCGAGGTTGGCGGTGTCGGTCTCGGCGTACGCGTTTTCTGATTTAAGACGCCGTCAATGAGGTGCTGATGCAGGTCGCACTAATTCGATGTAGGTCTCGCCCGGGATTGCGGTCGCCTCGTCGGTCGCATGAGCCGTTGTCATTCTGGTGCTCGGAGGTGCTGGCGAACGGCGCGTAGTTGTAGGTGCTGTAACGCGCGCGGACGAC